TATATACTTTTTTTTTTTTTGCGGAACTGGGGATTGAACTCAGGCCGACCCAACCAGCCACTGTGAACTGTTTGACCCAAAAACAAAACACGGGTCTTGCAAGGAGAAAGTGGCTTTGCTATAAGGGAGATCCTGGCTGGTGAAGCCCCATTAAAATGGCCCTGTATGTCACCTACTTCTAAAGAGGGCCACAAAAACCTCAGAATCATGTAAAACATGGGTCCAAAAAGCCTATCGCACATGAGGAAGCAAACAGCTGGCTAAGTCCAGCCTTGAGCCTGCTGAGCCGTCCTACTTCTCAGCAGATGTCTTCAGCGGGGAGAAACACTCGTCGACGTTAAGGCCATGTAAGTCAGTGGCATCTCTGTCCCCAAGGAGGAGGGAACCATAGCAGACACAAAGCATGATGAGGTCGTCGGGGGCTTAGAACCCAAGCGCCTCAGAAGTAAGGCAGGCTGCCTAGTGCTCCTAGCAGATGGCTGACCGATGTCACTGTGGAGTTCGAAACCAAATAATTCATAGTGTTTTCTTACATCAGGGCCTTCTCAGGCACAGATTTCTTCTGATGTCTTTGGAAAAATGCAGTTCAGACGGTTCCCTCGTGTTCTGCCTGCCTGTCCCCAACCGTGCTTCAGTGGCTCACCACAAATTATCTGTATGCACTGCAGTGAGTTCTGAGTTTGCTGCCTAGAAATACTTGGGCATTTTTATGAGGTGTGATGAATTTTTTATTCAGCACAGCAGTGATGAATTAAACAGCACCCCAAAGGATCCAAAGAGTTCACGCCTCTCCCTAAGTGTCCATATTATATAACCCATGGCTTAAGCCTGTCTCTCATGTTTAAGACCAATCATATCACCGTCTGCTGAGGGGATTTATGACCTAGTTAAATTAATTACTTCTTATAAAGTAAGCCCTCTGAGAATCTATGTGGTGGTGCTATATCAACTATTCAGCAGCTATTATAAATGAAAAGAGAAAGTCTCTGAAAAGCCCATTCCAGGTCCTCAATAAACACTGGTTCTCCACTTCCAGGTGTTTACTAACACCAAATTTTAATAACTAAAAACCAAGACTGTTAAACTTGTGGGTAAGATAGTCTGACGTTCCCCAGGTGGTCTGGTGTCCGTCCCCTCCTGTCTACATTCCTCACGCGATTCTCTCCCTCCTTGCCCTCTCCCTAAGCCATCGGCAGGCAACAGACACTTAACAAGGCACAAATTTTCAGCTCTATTCAACTTTAGCGTCCAAGGACAACTCAACATCACAGGCAAATCTGAGGCAATTTTTCCATCCCTGATCTCAAAAGGAATTTCTTTTGAGATCAAAAGCAGAAGAGACAGAAACGAGTCAGTAAGCGAACATTTGAAGGAGGAATGAGTCGCAGAAGACGCTACTGAGGTGAGAGCTGAAGCAGAGAGGAGCGGACCCCCGCAGTTGGGCTGAGTCCGGAAGAGGCGGTGTTGACGTGGTCCCTCCTCCCATACTTGCGGGATTCACAACAGGACAGACGGCCAACAGCCAAGGCAAGGGAGGCCACAGTGCCCCCAAGACGCAGGGAGCACAGAGTTCACAAGCAAGACAGGTGCCTCAGGGGTGACTCAGACCAGCTCTGCACAAAGATGGCCAATCGCCGACTGCTACCCACCACACTCCACGCTGGGCTTTTAGACGCTGCACAAGCCATGTGATAGTGTGCTGAAACCCAAACAAAATACTAGAGCTTGTTATCTGCTTGTCTTGTTTTCGTTTTGCTACTATCTGACAGCAGCAGGTACGGGGCCCCAGGTGCTTCTCCTCCCAGGACTGGAGCAGCAGGTCGCTTGGGGTCCCCGTGGGTGTCCTCTTCCTCCCTCCGCCCTGAAGCAGCACCTGTCACCCAACAGCACAAGGGCCTGGGGGCAGCATCCACTCCAGCCTACCACAGAGGGCACAGGGATCCCAAGAGGACTGTGTCCAGAGAACAGATGGGAGAACAGGGTTCCAAGTGGGGGCTGGGACACTGGATTCTACCACTGGAGTCACAGAGCAGAAAAAGAAAACTACGTAGAAAGAGGACAGGCTCTGTGTGACAGAGCTTGGCCAGGACAACGCAGCGATCTGCTTTTCTCCACCTCAGGTAGTGTGGAAAGCGGCACCTACAGCCTCCTCACCAGGCTTTCAATATGAGAGAGGCAGGACCAGGTGTTACCAGTTCACGGATCTGTGGAGAAGCTCACCGGACAGTAAACAGTGAGGCAAACCCAAGAGCCAGGCAGGACCATGCACACAGTAACTGCTGCCCGCACCTCATGACTCACTCAGGAGCAAAGCAATGAGGCAAACGACATGCACATGAGTCAGCAGAGGATGGGGCAGAAAAGCTGGAGGATTTCAGAGCCTTGGAATATTACCAGCTTGAATTCCGGGGGAAAACAAAATAGGAAGGGACGCGACACAGACAAGGGAGACTGGGCTGAGGTGACCGGTGCTTTCAGGAAAGGGACAGAGTCTTCCTGTAACCTGCCTTTCCTTTCTGTTAATTTTCAAATTTGTAGTAAGGTGTTACCAGGTAAGGTAACTCACTCTTACATTAGACAGCAGAGGGAAAGCACTTTATTAAAGACGCAAAAGCAAGAGAATGTAATTGCAGGCACATTTCAAACCTTTTGTGCAGTTGGCCACATTTTCTCTATCAGTCTGCAGCCAGAGAAGCTGGGATCCTTCTAGGAATGAAATTCATCCCACAGGAAAGGACCAGGCAGTGACAAGGGGGAGATAAAAATAATCTGCTAAGATGCCCCAGTCCTGTGAAAGCCCATCCAGGTAAAAAGAGATCCAACTGGCAGAGACGGATAGGCTGCGAAAGGGACGCAGACAAGCGGGGAGCCAAGAGAGCCGGCAGAAAGAAGCTGCCACGAAGAGTTCTCCTGAGGGATGAGGCGGGGGCTTGCCCAGGTCACTAGCAGACACAGGAGAAAAGGCAAGAAGCAGCCTGGCACGAGATACACCCTGAGGAAGCGCTGACAGAACGGGAATGGAGGTTTGGAATACAGGGAAGAAGAACGCGCGATGACCTATCCTCCTCGCCTGGTAACTAGGCTGGATGGCGGCCTCGCTTGCTGAAATCACGACGTCTAGTTACAGGCAGGGGAGGGTGTAGCCAGGCGGCCAGCATCCTCTCTGCGCCAGTGAGCACCCAAACTGGCCAAGCCTGGCAACGACAGCCCTGCACGCTAGTTAGAAACCCCAACTTCTGCACAGTGCAAGAAATAATCAGTGATGACATGTTCATCTAGAAAACAGAAGCAGTTTACTCCGTCACTCCCCCCCTCCTCCTCTCCTGACTGAGCGGCTCCATGGGAGCAGGCCAGGGCAAGCGGCCCCGGGCCCTGTCCAGATCTGGGGTCAGAGGGTGCAGCTCTTGTGACCCCTTCCAGGCAGCTGGGCGCCCTGAGTGAAGTCACTTCCTCGCCCCCAATCATATATCCAACAAAATGCTCTCATCAGGGACGCAAGACAAGACACTTAACCCTTTTAGGGAGGGGAGGGGGGGAGGGGAGGG